GTGCACTTTTTATACACACAGATATTCCATAAAATCAGCTCTTTGTTCATACTTCGCTGCATTACACTGCATCCCGCATCCACTTGAATAAGTTGTATACAATATGTTCTTTGTATTTGTCTCCTTCTCGGGCATTATATATCCAACATTTCTAGTTTCTTCCTTACCTCCACCCCTTCTGTTACTTGGCGATTTTAATGGTCAGCATTACCTCTGGCGGAGGGGGTCTCACTTTGACTCCCGAGGCATTCAGTTGGAGGGTTTTCTCGTTTCTCTCCCCCTCCATGTTTTAAATATGGGTACTCTCACCAATTTTGACCCTCGTACTCACTCTCTTGCATCGATCTCTCGGTCTGCTCTTCCTCAACTGCACTAGACTTCACCTGGTCTGTCCTCCTGGACTTGCATGACAGCGTCTTGCATCGATCTCTCGGTCTGCTCTTCCTCAACTGCACTAGACTTCACCTGGTCTGTCCTCCTGGACTTGCATGACAGCGTCTTGCAAACGATCTCTCGGTCTGCTCTTCCTCAACTGCACTAGACTTTACCTGGTCTGTCCTCCTGGACTTGCATGACAGCGTCTTGCATCGATCTCTCGGTCTGCTCTTCCTCAACTGCACTAGACTTTACCGGTTCTGTCCTCCTGGACTTGCATGACAGCGTCTTGCATCGATCTCTCGGTCTGCTCTTCCTCAACTGCACTAGACTTTACCTGGTCTGTCCTCCTGGAATTGCATGACACGTCTTGCATCGATCTCTCGGTCTGCTCTTCCTCAACTGCACTAGACTTTACCTGGTCTGTCCTCCTGGACTTGCATGACAGCGTCTTGCATCGATCTCTCGGTCTGCTCTTCCTCAACTGCACTAGACTTTACCTGGTCTGTCCTCCTGGACTTGCATGACAGCGTCTTGCATCGATCTCTCGGTCTGCTCTTCCTCAACTGCACTAGACTTTACCTGGTCTGTCCTCCTGGACTTGCATGACAGCGTCTTGCATCGATCTCTCGGTCTGCTCTTCCTCAACTGCACTAGACTTCACCTGGTCTGTCCTCCTGGACTTGCATGACAGCGTCTTGCATCGATCTCTCGGTCTGCTCTTCCTCAACTGCACTAGACTTCACCTGGTCTGTCCTCCTGGACTTGCATGACAGCGTCTTGCATCGATCTCTCGGTCTGCTCTTCCTCAACTGCACTAGACTTTACCTGGTCTGTCCTCCTGGACTTGCATGACAGCGTCTTGCATCGATCTCTCGGTCTGCTCTTCCTCAACTGCACTAGACTTCACCTGGTCTGTCCTCCTGGACTTGCATGACAGCGTCTTGCATCGATCTCTCGGTCTGCTCTTCCTCAACTGCACTAGACTTCACCTGGTCTGTCCTCCTGGACTGCATGACAGTCTTGCATCGATCTCTCGGTCTGCTCTTCCTCAACTGCACTAGACTTCACCTGGTCTGTCCTCCTGGACTTGCATGACAGCGATCATCTTCCAATCATCCTTACCTCTCATTCGTACTCGCCACCTCTTCGCAGCCCACGTTGTCAATTTGACCTAACGAACTGGGACCTTTATTCGCGTCAAACTGCTTTTAGTGAGAATCCTTCTTCGTCCTCCATTGATGAGGTGTTACACCTCTTCTCGACCTCGGTTTTAACCACAGCTTCACCTTCTATACCCCAAACCTCGGGCAGGCATTCTCAGAAATACGTGCCTTGGTGGTCTCCTGCTTGTGCTCGGAGAGAACATTTGAAACGCGCTCGTGGGGGCAGATATCGGTACAATAGAACCACAGAGCGACTCCTTGATTTTATACAGACTAGTGCGGTCGCCCACCGTATCATCCGTGAAGGTAAATGCACTTGCTGGCGAGATTGTTTCTACCGTCACTTCGGCTTACGCTGATTGCAGTCTGGAAAAAAGTACGGAAACTGAATGGCAAATACTCTCCTGACCCGTCTCCAGTTCTTAGGTTGACGGTATCGCTATAGCAAACCCTCTTGACGTTGCTACCGAAAATGGTAATCATCTTGTCTGCATCTCTCAGGGGCTCCATCTATGCCCCTTGTTTCTTTCCTCCAAGTCTGCCAAAGAGACGCAGCCTTTACTTCTTTTTTCTTGTATGACTTTGACGCATCTAGAATTAGGCAACACTTTCCACTTGCCTATCGTCGGCAGGTGGGCCCGACCGCATTCTTATTTGTATACTTTAGTATTTACATCCGTCAACCTTCGCAGTCATCTTATATCGTTTTAATCTTACCTGGTCGCAAGGGGTCCTTCTTCAGCTGTGGAAAACATCCGTTCTGCCTTTTCGTAAACCAGGCACTACGGGCTATGATACCTCATTGCACTTACCAGTGCAGTTTGCAAGCTGATGGAACGCATAGTAAATAGCAATATGATGGGGTATTTTGACAAGCACAATAGTGTCTCCACTAGTCAGTTTGGTTTTGGTAAGTGACCATTTTGTTATTGCATTTTTTATCTTTGAAAAGCATATGACAATACTTGGAGATAAAAAAATTTCGGCCCAAGATCATTTCTTAGGCCTCTGACGCAATCTACCACTTGTCCTTTTTAACTTCTTATCTGAGAGACATTTCCGTCTTCCGATTAATAATTTACTTTCCCCAGACTTTGTTCAAGCTGAAGGTGTCCCTCAGGGATGTTCTTAGCTACTCTTCATCAATTTGATATAAATGATCTGGCTATGGTTCTCCCATCTAATATTTGGTCATTACTTTGTCTATGATAACCTCATATTACCTCTCTGAAAGTAACTTGCCATAGCCAGCTGAACCTCCTTAAAATCTTCGCTATTCTTTCATGGGGAAAGGAAGGGGGGAGGGGGGTATCGTCGAACTCTCCTTCGACTGGATTCAGCCCTAATTTTATCGAAAGTAGACTAGCGACCGATATATTCTGCGACCCACTCCCGCAGTTCATTCTAAACTTGATCTAGGAGCTTTTTGCTCCTCACCTTTCGAGAGCCTATATGCAGAGGCGAATGTTCCATCCTTGAACGATCTCCGTGATGCCAATTGCCTCCATTCTGTTCTCCGCTCTCATGACCTTCACGATCCTTCTACATACAGGATAGTAACGGACGTTAGTAGAAGTCCATTATTTGTTCGTCGGCCCTGTTTACTCTGTCCCTTAAGAATTACGATATTCGTTCCTTTCTCAGAATTAAAACTGTTATAAAAAGTATAAATAAAACTTTGGAAATGGGGGAATACAATCTCTTAAAAGTTAATTCTGTGACCATTTATGGTGAAAAGGACATATGACCATTTAGGGTGAAAAGCACAAGCCTTTGAGGTAACGCATCATGCTGGCTGACCTCTGGAGTGGAGAAAGTGGATGGGTGTGGATGGTGGATGAAACTGGGAGGGATTGTGGCTAGTCTGGGTAGTGCACCCTGGTCTTGATCCAAGGACTTGAAACAGGGATGGTCTTGGGTGGGAGGAAAATGGAGCACGATCCGAGGAATTGGAACTGGGATGGTCTTGGGTGGGAGGAAAATGGAGCATGATCCGAGGAACTGGAACTGGGATGGTCTTGGGTGGGAGGAAAATGGAGCATGATCCGAGGAACTGGAACTGGGATGGTCTTGGGTGGGAGGAAAATGGAGCATGATCCGAGGAACTGGAACTGGATGGTCTTTGGTGAGGGTTGTGGTTAGTGTTGAGAGTGAGGCTAGGTGTGTAAATGTGTGTGGGAGTGGTATATTGGAGTTCTTGACCCGAGAATGTGGAGCCAGGAGCTCTTGATCCGAGGAGTAGGGGAGGCTGAAAGTGGAGTAGGTTGATCCGAGAAAATGGAGGAGGGGTCTTGATTCAAGAACTTTGAGGCCTGGTCACAGACCGGGCCGAGGGGGCGTTGACCCCCGAAATCCTCTCCAGGTAGAATTGGTGATTATGTTCCAACGATTTGGAGCAAAGATGGGGTGAGGAGTAGTAGGGGTTAGGGGGATGACATAAGATTTTCGATCCTAAGAATTAGAGCGGGGTTGGTAGGGGGTGGGGTAGGTTGTTTTTAATCCAAGGAATTGGAGCAGGGATGGCTCGCAACGGGGGGAGTAGGCAGGGAGAAGGAGATGGAGATACGAGGTAACCCGAGGGACGTTGAATGCTGGGCCCTCCCATCCCCACCACCATGAAGGACACCCACAGTTTCATCCTCCCCATCTGTGCTCCAGTTCCTCGCATCAAGACTACCATTCTTGCTGCTCCACCACCACTATCCTTACCTGGAGTAAACCCACTCCAGGTAAGGAAGGTGGTGGTGGAGCAGCAAGAATGGTAATCTTGATGCAATGAACTGGAGCACAGATAGAGGGTGAAACTGTAGGTGTCCATGGGGGGTGGGAGGACCAAGCGTCCAGCGTCCCTCGGGTTGCCTCATAACCAGTAAAGTACCGTAGGATTTGTGTTGGAATATCTTGTATACTCTTGGTGGACCTTAGGAGGCAAGTAAGATCCCTCGTCTTCCAATAACATCTTTATTTTACCACTATAGTCTACCCTGTCCATAATTACTATCGCATTTTCTGTTACGTAAGATGGAGTCTACGATCTTTCCTTATTAACATGGTATGACTTAAGAAATCGTCGAGTTCGTTTTACCATGGGAATGAACCTGGTTTAGCTTACGAGTTTGTACTAAACTCGTAAGCTAAACCAACTTCACACCTATATATATTTTTAAAGTTCAATTTTAATTAGATTAAGTAAACCCAAAATGCTGTCCACACAATGGGTTTTTCACATCTATACTTTATGCATTTCTTAAAATATATTATTTTTGTTGTGACCAGGAAGTTATTGATAGGCCGGGTCACCACTACTTGGAAAAGACCCGGGCCGGGAGAATACCGGCGAAAAAAAAAAAAAAAAAAAAAAAAAAAAAAAAAAAAAAAAAAAAAAAAAAAAAAAAAAAAAAAAAAAAAATATATATAATATTAAATATATATATATATAATAATATAAATATAAATTCTGAGGCAGAAAAACGTTCATATAAGTCAAATGAAGGCGGAGTTGCCATGCAAATTATTCTCACTACAGCTGCACCTGCTTAAATTATTTATTATTTTAATATTAACTTCACCCAAAAGAACCACTTGTTATATCTAAAGTCTTGTTCCATTTAACTCTTAAGAAGTGTTTCTCTTTCTTGCGTTTTCACGGTAATGGAGTAGCGAGAAATATTCAAGTGGTTTTTTTTCTGTTAAGAAACCACACCTGCATGGGCTCTTTCCTTCCCTTCATGGGTACAGGGCCGCGATAAGTGAAGGTGAAACACGGGTCATAATTTTTTGGCTCCTGTAGATACCTGAGGAAGGAAATAAAGACTTGTTAGCTTGGCTAGGTTAAAGTAGGCTAAAGAATGCCACTTACAGTAGTATAAATTTGATCACACTGATATAGTCAATAGGAAAGGTGATGGAGTTGCTGTGTAAGTGAAAATTTGAACTCTTCCGTCAGGAATGACTTGAAGGTGGAATAGACGGACATAGAATCTTTCTGGCTGCAGTTACTCGAAGGGCGTGAAAAGTTAATCTTAGGTTTGATCTACAGACCTCTCGGGTACAGTAGAGACCTCAATAAACTAGTATGGCATGAAGCTACAATGGGATCTAGATAGGAAAATGCAATTTTACAGCGGCGATTTTAATTTTATCCAAATTAATTGGAGCAAAATTACAGGAAACTTAATCTAACAACTTTGCGGAAGCGGTACAAACCCGCGTTTTAAAACAGTTTGAGGAAACAACTACAAGAGATAACCTGCTTGCATCATGCCTGTGTAATCCCCTCTTTTGAAATTTGGCTTCTTCCTTCCTTTGTGTTATTTCGCTCTAGTGTTAAATCTGGACCATACCTGGAGTATACCCGGAGGATGTGTCGGGGGTCAACACCCCCAGCGGCCCGGTCCATGACCGTGCTCCCTGACACTTATTGTGTTGTCTCATAGTGTACTAATGGCACCCCAGCTTTTCCTTGTGGGAAGAGGGGATGTCTTTTGCTTCCATAGGTAGTGATTTTCGTGTGGAAATTTTTGACTGGTTCCTCTAGGATTTTCCAAGTGTATAATATGACGTCTCTCTCCTGCATGCCAAGGAGTACATGTCAAGGGACCTTAACTGTTCCAAGTAATTGAGTTTTTTTGTTGTACTTATACGTGCAGTGAAAGTTCTCTGTATATTCCTCCAGGTCTGCAATTTCGCCTGCTTTAAAAGGGGCCGTTGGTGTATAGCAATGTTCCAGAGTAAAGAGAGAACAAGCATTTTGAAGAGAATCATCATTGGCTTGACATCCCTAGTTTTGATGGTTCTCGTTATCCATCCTATCATTTTCCTATCAGATGTGGCAGACACATTGCTGCGATCTTTGAAAGTGAAATTCCCTGACATTTTCACTCCCACGTTAGTTTTTTGCTCTATTGTATGGCTGTACTTTGTTTCACATTCCAATTCAGTTTTTATTTCCTCGAGTTTTCCATAGTGGAGGAATTAAAAGTTGACCTCATTGAATTTCGTATTGTTTTCCGAAGCCCATTTAAAGACTTGGTTAAAGTCTGCTTGGAGATTTGCAGTGTCCTCTGTGGATGACACTGTTATGCAAATTCTGGTATCGTCAGCAAAGGAGGATATGGTGCTGTGGCTTGCATCTGTCTGTTAGATATAAGAATGAGGAAAAGGATTGGAGAGAGTGCTGTCCCTTGTGGAACAGAGCTTTTCACTATAGTAACCTCTGACTTTACGGTTTACTATACACTTTGTGCTCTGTTAGTAAGTTATTGATTCACATACCTAGTTTCTTCTTATTCATTTATCACGCATTTTGCGAGCTGCTGCACCAAGATCTCATTTGTCGAAGGCTTTCGGAGTCTGTCTATACTACCTGCATTGCATCCAAGACCATGTCACAGCGGTCCAGTAGCTGTGGCAGACAGGAGCGACTTACTTTAAACCTATGTTGCCCTGGGTTGTGCAACTGCTGGGTGTCCAATTAGTTGGTGATCTTGCTTCTGTCTGTAATTATTTGCAATTGCCTTATTGCCGCCTTTGTGAAGTAATGACCCCCCTCCCCCCCGTGTTTATGCTCCCTCTTCATAGCATATTTAAGGCACTGGGGCAGAGTGCATGGTCTTGTCATTTATAGCTTTTTCAGTCAAATGGCGTTAGGATTATATCAGAAATTCTTGAATTAACCAAATTTGAAGTCTCTGCCATAAAAAAGAAATTTAAATTCTTTAAGTCTGATTAACGGCTCACTAAGCTCTGAGTCATATTGGGACTACAGTATCTCATTTCTTTGCTGTCATCTCTGTAAATTCTATTTTGTACTAAATAGCCTTTATTGGTGAAAAGATAATATATTTTCCAGTCTTGTTGGCTCCACTATTTGCTGGCTTAAGGTGAATTTGTTGCAAAGATTTAATGGCTCGTGTGTATGAATTTTCATCTGAGCTGCCTTCTGAGGTTATCTCTACTTAAACATTATTTGTCACATTCCTCCAACATTCCCAACAACAAGATATTTGGGGCTGGGGCTGGAAGACTTAACAGACAGTGGTCTGTTTTCAAAAGCCGTTCTTTGAATTGTTGGGAAGTTGTCTCTGGTGGCTTGCATACAACCACGCTTACATGGGTTTGGTTTTCAATCTTTACTGCCAAAATTTTCAGTTACATCATCTGAGCAAATGAGCGAATCTGTCACACTCAGGCCACTCTATCCTCGTTGTCTGTTCTTTCCGTCGCATCTTTATAAATTGTGCCAATGTGATCATTGGCGCCATGGGATCTGTCGCTGTAATATATTTTATATTAGAACTGCCAAAGGTGAATACAAAGTCTAGCCTCGCTGGTTCATCCACTCCTCTCTGTGGTTGTGTCCCTAACAATACCACCAGCAACTTAGTTCTACACATTTCTGGTCCACTATGTGGCTCCAGGTTTTCACAGTCACTCTCCTTGTGGTCAAAGTCTCCCATGAACAGTAGCTTTGCCCTCCCCACGTGGGACCTGGCCACCTCAGCTAGTGCATCCACCATTATTTTGTTGCTCATACTCCTGTCTTGGTCTTTTAAGCAGCTGGTTGTGCATCACTAATATAGCCATCATGAGACCCCTGATTAGAAGTGTTCTTATTATGTAGTCATCTAACCATCTGTCCATTCCTCCCATCTCAAAACTCCGATGGTTTCTGATGAGTTTCTGGTCAACCGCCCCCACCCTTGTTTTCCCTGTCTTACGTTAAGATCTGATAGCCAGTCGGGAAGATAGCCTCTGTTATCATATCTGAGCTTTGTTTCAGTGAGTGCTATGATGTCTAGTGATGCCTCCATGATTCGTTCATGCCACTCCTCACTCGTGTTATTCTCTCTGCGTCGGAGTACCATACCTTCAGCTTCTTTTCCAATACTGTATTCCGGTTTGTTGGTTTCTGGATCCCTGGCCTTTGTTCATGGGTCATGGGGTGGAAGGGGTTGGTGTGGGTTGGAGGTATGGAAGGCACAGCGGGATTTTGTGAGGTTGCTATAAGGACAGTATTTGTGGTAGGGGTAGTGGAAACTGTGGGTGTGCAGTGTAGTTTGTTTTGGTGTTTTGGGTTATTTTGTATGGGTTGGAGGAGGGGCTAGGGGCTGAGGAGGTTCTGTGGGTGGTCAGGCTTGGTGATTCCCTCGAGGATGAGCTTCATGCTTGCCGATACATGCTGTCTCTCGTTCCTGCCTATGGCGTCATTGTGCACTCTCAGTTGCTACCATTTTTTTCTAGTTTTATTGCAGTTAACTAACACTCGATGGTACTTTTCCGAGTCCCTTAACCCTGGTTTCTTCTGCATGATCCTTTGTGTGTACTCACCTATTTGTGGTTGCAGGGGTCGAAACTCGGCTCCTGGCTCTGCCTCTTCACTGATCGCTACTAGGTCCTCTCTCCCTGCTCCACGAGCTTTATCATGCCTCATCTTAAAGCTATGTATTGTTCCTGCCTCCACTACCTCACTTTCTAGACTGTTCAGCTTCCTGACAACTGTGACTGAAGAAATACTTCCTAACATCCCTTTGACTCATCTGAGTCTTCAGTTTCTAGTTGTGACCCCTTGTTTCTGTGTCCCATATCTGGAACATCCAGTCTCTGTCCACCTTATCTATTCCTCGTAATATTTTGTATGTTATGTCACCCCTAACCCTCCTGTCTGTTGTCGTGCGCGCGTGCATGTGTATCGTATATGACTCGCTAACTTGTACATCTAGGCGAGTACAAATAGGAAGCACAGGTCTTGCACTCAGTGGACGGAGGATCAAGCCTCCATCACAGCTTGCCCTGAATAACCCACATAGCCTTAGCGCCTAACGTAAATTAAACACACTAACCTGTAAGCATCCTCAGAAACATTGATGCGACCCTTTTCACCAGTAGTCTCGGTCCTGGAGGTGATGTTGACGGTGTTACCGAAGAGACAATACCTGGGCATCCTCTGACCTATCACTCCAGTCACCACTTCCCCGGAATGGATTCCAATTGTGATTTGCTGTGGAAGAAGCAACAAAAGACTTAGAAAGGCTTATTTTTCATACGCCATTAAGTTTCCTAAGAGGTGTAGCAGACTTCTATTAAATTTTTTTAATAAAGTGTATGTTGATTGTATGTGATACGAGTGTATTATAGTTGTAGGATGAGTGAAGGATTGTGTTGAGTGCGAGTGTACGTGTATGCTCGAGTGTATGAGAGGTGATACACAAATAACCCGCACATAAAAGAGAGAAGCTTACGACGACGTTTCGGTCCGACTTGGACCATTGACAAAGTCACACTAACAGAGGTGGAGCAGGACGGCTATATATAGGCAGGAAGAGGTGGAGGTAGTAGTAGTAGTAGTAGTAGTAGTAGTAGTAGTAGTAGTAGTAGTAGTAGTAGTAGTACAAGAATTGTATATAATACCGACAAGATGAAATTAAGACACATGCACAACACCCGGGCATCCCCATCGTAGACGTTTCGCCATCCAGTGGCTGGCTGGATGGCGAAACGTCCACAACAAAGACAACCAGACGCCGCACATGTGTCTTAATTTCATCAGTAGTTGTAGTAGTAGTAGAAGAAGAAGAGGTAGTAGTAGTAGTGGTAGTGGTAGAAGTGGGAAATAAGGATGACGAGCCAGTCAAAAAAAAAAACAAAGGAAGGGGAGCACTGCAAGAGAGCTAGATGCCCACAGAGGGAGAGCAAGCGCACAGAGGTGCGTGAAAGGGGAAGTGGTGAAATAAAATAAATGAAGAAGGAACAGAAACACGAGACAGGAGAGAGAAAGACAACCCAGAGGAGAAAAGGAAAGAGGAAAGGGGAAGAGGAAGAAGAAAAAGAAAGAAAAAATGAGGATTCAGGTTACGTCACGGGTGTTCTGAAGTTTGGAGCATTTTACAATGCCGTCCTGCTCCACCTCTGTTAGTGTGACTTTGTCAATGGTCCAAGTCGGACCGAAACGTCGTCGTAAGTTTCTCTCTTTTATGTGCGGGTTATTTGTGTATCGTTCCAGTCACGGTATTGTGCCTTTTTGTTATTCATGTATGAGAGGTGAGTTTGTGTTTTGAGCGTAGGTATACCTGGAGGGTGTTCAGGAAGTTAACGTCCCCGCGAACTGGTCCATAACCAGGCCTCGCGGGGGATCAGGGCCTGATCAACCAGGCTGTTACTGCTGGCCGCACGCAAACCGACGCACGATACACAGCCCAGCTGGTTGGGCACTGACTATTTGCTTGTCCGGCTTCCTCTTGAAGACAGCCAGGGGTCATCCATTGTGAAGTAGAGGAAGTGTATACCTGACGCACAATCCGGAAGGCAGTGTATTTTGGTTTTGATTAAGGTTATGAGTATATGTTATCGATTTAAGGTTTCTACGTAAATATGGTGTCGATATAAGCTTTCTTCGTAAATATGGTGTCGATATAAGCTTTCTTCGTAAATATGGTGTCGATATAAGCTTTCTTCGTAAATATGGTGTCGATATAAGCTTTTTTCGTAAATATGGTGTCGATATAAGTTTTTTTTCGTAAATATGGTGTCGATATAAGCTTTTTTTTCGTAAATATGGTGTCGATATAAGCTTTCTTCGTAAATATGGTGTCGATATAAGCTTTTTTCGTAAATATGGTGTCGATATAAGCTTTTTTCGTAAATATGGTGTCGATATAAGCTTTTTTCGTAAATATGGTGTCGATATAAGCTTTCTTCGTAAATATGGTGTCGATATAAGCTTTTTTCGTAAATATGGTGTCGATATAAGCTTTTTTCGTAAATATGGTGTCGATATAAGCTTTTTTCGTAAATATGGTGTCGATATAAGCTTTTTTTTCGTAAATATGGTGTCGATATAAGCTTTCTTCGTAAATATGGTGTCGATATAAGCTTTTTCGTAAATATGGTGTCGATATAAGCTTTTTTCGTAAATATGGTGTCGATATAAGCTTTCTTCGTAAATATGGTGTCGATATAAGCTTTCTTCGTAAATATGGTGTCGATATAAGCTTTTTCGTAAATATGGTGTCGATATAAGCTTTCTTCGTAAATATGGTGTCGATATAAGCTTTTTTCGTAAATATGGTGTCGATATAAGCTTTCTTCGTAAATATGGTGTCGATATAAGCTTTCTTCGTAAATATAGTGTCGATTTAAGCTTTCTTCGTAAATATGGTGTCGATATAAGCTTTCTTCGTAAATATAGTGTCGATTTAAGCTTCTACGTAAATATGGTGTCGATTTAAGCCTTCTATGTAAATATGGTGTCGATATAAGCTTTCTTCGTAAATATGGTGTCGATTTAAGGCTTCTACGTAAATATGGTGTCGATTTAAGCTTCTACGTAAATATGGTGTCGATTTAAGCTTCTACGTAAATATGGTGTCGATTTGAGCCTTCCTCGTAAATATGGTGTCGATTTAAGCCTTCTATGTAAATATGGTGTCGATTTAAGCCTTCTACGTAAATATGGTGTCGATTTAAGCTTCTACGTAAATATGGTGTCGATTTAAGCCTTCTATGTAAATATGGTGTCGATTTAAGCTTCTACGTAAATATGGTTGTCGATTTAAGCTTCTACGTAAATATGGTGTCGATTTAAGCCTTCTACGTAAATATGGTGTCGATTTAAGCCTTCTATGTAAATATGGTGTCGATTTAAGCTTCTACGTAAATATGGTGTCGATTTAAGCTTCTACGTAAATATGGTGTCGATTTAAGCCTTCTACGTAAATATGGTGTCGATTTAAGCCTTCTATGTAAATATGGTGTCGATTTAAGCTTCTACGTAAATATGGTGTCGATTTAAGCTTCTACGTAAATATGGTGTCGATTTAAGCCTTCTACGTAAATATGGTGTCGATTTAAGCCTTCTACGTAAATATGGTTGTCGATTTAAGCCTTCTACGTAAATATGGTGTCGATTTAAGCCTTCTACGTAAATATGGTGTCGATTTAAGCCTTCTATGTAAATATGGTGTCGATTTAAGCTTCTACGTAAATATGGTGTCGATTTAAGCCTTCTATGTAAATATGGTGTCGATTTAAGCTTCTACGTAAATATGGTGTCGATTTAAGCTTCTACGTAAATATGGTGTCGATTTAAGCCTTCTACGTAAATATGGTGTCGATTTAAGCCTTCTACGTAAATATGGTGTCGATTTAAGCCTTCTACGTAAATATGGTGTCGATTTAAGCCTTCTACGTAAATATGGTGTCGATTTAAGCCTTCCTCGCAAATATGGTGTCGATTTAAGCCTTCCTCGTAAATATGGTGTCGATTTAAGCCTTCTACGTAAATATGGTGTCGATTTAAGCCTTCCTCGCAAATATGGTGTCGATTTAAGCCTTCCTCGTAAATATGGTGTCGATTTAAGTCTTCTACGTAAATATGGTGTCGATTTAAGCCTTCCTCGTAAATATGGTGTCGATTTAAGCCTTCTATGTAAATATGGTGTCGATTTAAGCCTTCCTCGTAAATATGGTGTCGATTTAAGTCTTCTACGTAAATATGGTGTCGATTTAAGCCTTGCTCGTAAATATGGTGTCGGTTTAAGCCTTCCTCGTAAATATGGTGTCGATTTAAGGTTTATACGTAAATTTGGTGTTGATTTAAGCTTTCTACGTACATGTGTTAATGGGAACACTGCTTTAAGCTTCACTTGCTACAGCTTTAAGCTTCACTCTCACTAACCATAAACTTCACTTGGTGTAAATATTATAGTTAATAAAGTATTAATCTAATACGTTGCAGTTGTAAATTAATGATGCCTTGTTATTATTATTATTATTATTATTATTATTATTATTATTATTAAAGATTCGCCGGTATTCTCCCGGCCCGGGCCTTTTCCAAGTGGTGGCCCGGCCTTGGCTCCCTCTTTAGGGAGTGTCTGAGACCTAAGTCTCCCATGGGAGGAGGCACAAGTACCTCCTCATCTTTGGGACCAACTGTCCCCAGGCCTAGCCACAAGCTAGGCCTCTCTGGTCTGCCATCCCCGCCACAAGGGAGCAAATAGGAATGACAGTCTTATGAGCTAAAGGCTCGGGCTCAGGCACCTACCCTACCCTAGAAAGGTTAGGCATGGTGTCGATCGAATGGAAACAAGTCACCTTGTCACTGATAATTGTACTTAGGTGTACCTGTGCCTATATAAACTTACAAATATAGAAGCTTATCAAAATGCTTTAATTAGAATTTTTTTTGGGGTTATCTTAGGCTCTCTGCACATATGCTGCTATGTATGGTAATCTATGTAAATGTATTTGTGTGTACCTGAATAAACTTACTTACTTAAAGAGAGGAGTTGGGTTTAGTCTGGCGGCTGAAGTTCTCACTTCACACGGCGAGGGTCCGCGTTCGATTACCAGCCAGGGTAGAAATATTGGGCGTGTTTCTTTACAACGGTTGTCTATGTTCACCCATCGGTAAAATGGATACCTGGGAGCTAGTCGACTGGTGTTGATCACGTCTTGGTGGAAATGCTCAGCATAACAAGGGGCTGTCTATACAGTAGTATGTCGATGATGTTAGCTAGGACTGTATACCTTGTATATATACTTGTAAATAAAAAAATTATATGTGCCAGTAGACCTGCCACAGTGTTCTTCCAGTCTTAGTTTCTTATATAAACACAGAGGACTGTAATATATATATCTGGCCTACTGACCTATTTGTGGAATAGACGAAGATTGATAGATAAGAGTATAATAAAATATCCTTACTTACTACCAGTACATGTACAAGGTATACAGACCATAGTTGACATCAGTGACATACTACAATATAGAAAGTCCCTTGTTATGCTGAGCATTTCCCGCAAATTAGATCAGTTTTGTTCCAGGATGCGACCCACACCAGTCCACTAACACCCAGGTACCCGTTTTAGCTGATAGGTGAACATAGACAACCGGTGTAAGAAAACAAGTCACCCTTCCCGGGAATCGAGCCCGTACACCTCACCCGGGCACGGGCCACCGTGTGTTAAATATCTGATGACTTTTATCATAGGATTGTAA